GGTAGCTTGAATGATTTCGGGGATGTCGTCAAGCCACAGAGTGCGTTGTGCTGGCTTGTGTCGGCGACGGCGTCCGTTGTAGACGCGGGTGGTGGAAGAGGTGTCGAGTGTGTCCACAGTGAGGTGTGTGGTGGTGGAATGTGGTTGCCGCTGTCGGTACCAAGTCAAAAGTAGACGCCAGGCTGCTAAGAAGCGGTCTTTGTCAACGGAAGTGAAGAAACCGGGAAGGTCCTGGTTTCGACAGTCCAGGGGGGTGTGGCCGAGGCGGAGAAACTCATGCAAAGACCGCATGAGATCGAAGAGGTCGCCACCCGAAAATGCGTCTGGGCAAGCCGTGGCAACCATGCTGTGGAGCAGTTTGGCGAGAGCGTCAAGCATGGGTCGGAAGACGGCGCCAACGAAGCTGATGATGGGTCGAGCAGTGGTCCAGTTCTTCTTCCTCTTGGGGAGGATGTAGGCAGTCGCTGGCCGTCCGAAGCCGGTCACGGCCCATGGATAGCGACCGCGGAATCTGCTGACGATGCTTTCCCGTTGTCGTTGATGGATCTCAATGGAGGGGACTCGCAAGGGAGCAAAGATGGCAGGATCCGTGAATGTGGCGTCCAGCATCTTGCCGTACACAGCGGGGCAATAGAGCATGAGTCGGGAGTCCGCATGATCTTCGCAATGGCGGACAAGGGGCTCCAGGGTTGTTAGAGCCTGTTGAACATGAGCATGTAGAAAGTACTGTTGTGTGTGAGGAAGGTGGAGGTCGAAATGGAAATCGACAATAGTGGAAAGGGTTGATGGATCAAGCGAGGGCAGGTTGTTGGTCCTGGCCCAGTGGTGAAACGCCTGAGTCAGACGATTCATCAAGACCCCGCGTGGCGGAAAGAAGGACTATGTCGGGGTCGAACAACTCATGAGTGTCGGAGCCAGAAAAAAAGAAGGTGTCCCTCATGCTTCGGGAGGGATGGGTGTCGCTTGGCGAGGTCGGTACATGTGCAGGACAGCTCGCCGAGACTCCAGGTTTGGAGGTGTGAGAACAAGGCACTGGATAGTTTCCGGTGTGCCTTGAAAACGATGCGTGGTTGCGCCACATGAAACGGTAGAGCACTGCGGGTGGTGGATCTGACAAACCCGCGGAGCTGGGTCAAAAGCAAAGTCCGAAAGGAGGAATGTGCGAAGAAGGGCGCGAGCATCGGTCTGGAGGGGCCGGGTGGAATTAGGCCCCGGAAGCGCAGGCTAGATCGAATGGCAGAGATGCATGCCTGGTGGTGTGGCTCAGGTAAGTGTGTAGCGATGCGATGAAGGATGCAAAGGGCAGCGTGTGGGAAGTCTCTGCTCCGTATGAACGGATGGCATCGAATCGTCGTAGGGTGTTGCTGCCAAGATCGCCCAAAAGGCGCCACAAGTCCAGGCGGTTGCTCATGCGCTTGGCCAGGAAAGCTTGTTGCAGAGCGATTGGTAGTCGTAGTCTGCGACGCTTTCGCCAAATAGTGGCAAAGCCCATGCTCAGTGGCGAAGAGGTCTGTTGCTGGGACGGCAATGTGGATTGGCACTGAAGTGTAAAAGTGGAAAACATCGAAATGCGCCCACCATCGAACGGCCAGCTCGGCGTTGACCAAATGGTGTCGTTGAACCTGAAGTAGTTTGCGGAATCGGCTGTGATCCCGAGCCATGAGAGAGGTGCGAGTTGCACCGACATAGAAAAAGGTTTGCCATTTGGGATGGCTGGTGAATCTCAGATAAACCGCGGAAGGGACAAGCTGAGATGAGAAATCAGAAGCGGGGGAATCCAGGCCGAGTCGGGCAAGCAGGGCTTTCAGTCGGCCAGAGCCACACAAGAGATGGCAAACGTCAAGTAGCTGAAGCTGTGCGAGCAGCCAGGAACAAAAGTGACGTGCGGCGACGTCGTCGGTTGGGAAGAACTGGAGAGTGAAACGGAGGACAGCGAGAAATTGGCGGCAGTGGTGTTGCCAAAAATTGTGTTGCTTGGCTGTGCGTCGTTGTCGGTGTGCTGTTGAGAGTCACTGGTAGAAGTGGCTTGCAGCGGCCAGGATGCGGCCCAGGGCCGATGACCCTAGTTTGGATAGGGTTCGCACTGGTACGCCCCAGAGCACGGCGGCTCGTTCCAGTTGGGCTCTGGTGTCGGAGTCCAGTGTGGTCGCCCATTTGGCGCAGTCGTTGGACCAGCAGTTTAGGGTCTGCTTGCTTTCTTTGCTGATCTTCTGGGAAGTGATCCATCGCTGGACTTTGGTGTCGGAAATGTCGGGTGGGAAGTTGCTGGTGAGCCATTGGCAAACGTGGGGAGGGGGTTGGAGCAGGTCGCAAGGCTCCTTCCAGGCGGGCGGGGTGCCGGCGTGGGGGCCGAGGGGGTGCCGCCGTGGGTGGGGGGGGCCGGGGGAGAAGGGGAGTCGTCAGCGGTGCGAGCGGGGAGGGGGGGGGCGGGGGAAACGTCAGGAAGTGGGGTGTCAGACGTGGTCAACCGCGGCCGCTTCACGCCGAAGTCCAGAAGGGAGGCCTGAGAGGGGTCAACCGGGCGCTTGCCGGATGATATGGGTGTAGGGGGAGGTGAAGGGGATGGTGCTTGCTGTGCGAGTTGGCTGTGTGCGACGGCAAGCTGTTGCTGGAGCTGGAGGATGGTGGCAGCTGAAGCTGGGTCAGTCGTAGTGGTGGGTCGTAGGGAGATGAGGAAGTCGAAGATCTTGCTGGTTAGTAGCTTCATGGCTGCTGGTTTGGTGGTCGAGGAGCCCTCCTGTGTAGCGACGTGAAGAGCGAGGGCATCCAAGTCAAGATGTCGTTGTCGGATTTGGCTGAGTAGCCCAGCGGCGAAGACTGACTCCGGCCTCGACTTTGCGACAACGATGCGTACCTCACCTCCATGGGCGAGGTGGCGCAACCACCAGCTGTTCCACTGTTCGTGCAGGAAGTGGAGGAGGGAAACGCGAGCGATGTCTTGTCCCTCAATGCCCAATTGCCGGGTGAACGCGGTATGCGTTATGACCTTGGGCAGGTCGTACCCTGCGACGCGGGTGGTGTCGTAGTGATCGTCGAACTCTGCTGGTGTTGGGACTGAGTGGAGGGGGCGAAGAGCAGGAGGGGGTGTGGCCTTCGAGGCGGTGGAGGGAGGGGAGAAAAGGGGGGCCGCGGGTGAAGGGGCCGGGGGGAGGAGGGGAAAAATGGGCGCCGCCGGGAGGAGGGGGGGGAAAGCCGGTGAAAGGGGGACGGGGGCCGAGGGGCGGTGGAGTGGATGGCTGGAAGTGGGAAGTGGGGTGGCCGTGGGGTTGGCATGGAGTTGGAGGTGTAGTCGGTGGTGTCCAGGTCGTGGAGGAGCATCCATAGCAAGGCCCCAACAGGGCCCCGCACAGGGTTCCGGCCGTGCATGGTGGTTGGATGCAGCGGGTGAAGGTTGCTGTGGATAGTTTTGCCTTTGGAGCATCGGTAACAAGCCTCGAGGGGGTTGGAAAGCCATGAGAAAACACAAGGGAAAGGGGCCAAGTTCGAACCAAAGGCTGGCAAACGGCAACCAAAAGGAAGGGTCGTATGGCGAACGATCGGTCACAGAAAAGGCAACAAAGCGAACAAACCGTGCATCAGTTCTTTTCCTGGTCAAATGAAATATGGTACGGTTCGCGCCCCGCTACGCCGGGCGCTGCAGCGCGACACCTCTCAGCATGGCATACTTGGAGTGAAGGCACCACTTCTTCCCTCTGCGGCATGCAAAGTGGCGCCGCACGTTGTGCTGGTCCTCGTGGCTTCCCCCGGACTCCAAGATCTTGCGCTGGTTGACAGAGCGCAGTTCCCCAAAAGCGATGGCCCCAAGCTGAGACTTTCCGATGGTGAAGTTCTGCAAAAGCTGGCCTAACGTGTCGGGATTGCAGGCTGTGGGAGTGGCCTGAGCATAGCATCCAAAGCTCGGGTAGTCATGGTTCTCAGGCCTCCATGCAGCAGGCCGGATCATGTTCTCATAGGACATGCGGCGCATTCGATCCGGGGTGGTGCCGTGTACATACATGACAGCGTGATGGGAAGCTGTGCCGGATCCAGCTTCAGGGTGCCCACCAGCGACCGGCCAGGGGTGTGGTCGGGGAAACAAGTGGTTGCGAACACCATGCCATGGGATTCCCGTCCCGGAGATGGTAGAAGCTGGGGTCGAACGCTATGGGCTCATCCATGTCCATGGTTCGCAGTTCCCAGCATTCTGCGAGGATGTCGGCATGTGAAGGTGGCAAGGCAGGGTCCAGGCTCGTCATGGAGATGTCCAAGGCTGGAAGCGGGTCCAACTCCCCCAACTCCCTAGGCGTGGGAACTCGCATTGGGTCAGTCTTGGCTGTGTCCATGACGCTTCGCCATAGATCAAGCCACCGGTTGTCGGAGTTTGTGTTGAGCTCTGCCTCCGACGGAGGGGGATTCAGGTCTTCAGTGTCATCCAAGGGGTGCTGGCGGGAGGGTTGGGGAGGTGCAGGGCGGGGAGGGGGGGTTGGGAAAGCCGCCGCGGGTGCAGGGGTAGGGGCATGCTGGCGTTGTTGCGGCCAGCACGGGATGGGGGGTGCGATTGTTGCCCAGGTTGCTGCTGTGGCCAGGACTGTCGCTTGTCCTGACTGCTCCAGTTGCCTGTGTTGCTGGTGCTGTGGTGGTGCTTGCCCCAGCGGCTTGTACTGTGGCTCTGCGGTGGGTGTCCCCACGATTGGTTCCACCAGCGTGGAGAGGACCTTTGAGACTTGTCGGTGTCCCATCCGGAAGTGCGCCAGGAAGTGGAACCTTGGGAGGTGTGGGTTTGCGAGGCTCGATGTGGAGCCGTGGCTGGGTGCGGGGGAGTGTCGTTGGGAGGACCTGCGCCGGGGGGAGCGTGAGCGGAGGGAGATGGGGTTGCGGCGCGATCGCCTGGAGCGGTGGTGGGGTCGTGAGGGGGAATGTGACCGGCTGGAGCTGCGTGCTCGCCGGGTGGTGTGTCGCCGTGGCGCCTTGTCGTGTCCGCGGTGATGACTAGTGTGGGAGTGTGAGTGGCGGTGTCGTCTGTGACGGGAACGGGATCTGCGGGAGTGGGACTGGGGACGAGTGCCTGTGGGATGTGGGTTGGTCGAGGGAGCGGCGGCAGGAGTTGTAGCAGCTGCATCGGCTGCGCGTGCCGGCTGAGGCTCGGGCAATGAAGATGGCATGCTGTTCTGAGCCATGAAGGGCATCAGGGAGCCGGATGTCGCGTTGCCAAAGTTAGGAAGGCCACCGTAGGGCATCACGGACATCGGGTTGCCAAAGTTCGGGAGGCCACCATAGGGCATCATGGAAAACGGTGCAAAGGGCGTGGTCTGTGGGTTGGGTGAAGGTACGAGGCTCATGGGCTGCATCATCTGGGGTGAAAACTGCAGGTTCGGTCCACCGCTGCCTGGTGAGCCGGACATGGTGCCGGTCGCAATGCTTTGCAGGAGCGAGTGCATCATGTCATAGAGCTGGTGTCCAGCCATCTCGCAAAGGAGACAGAGGGTTGGAAAGAGAGGGGTGGGAACAATAAAAGACAACTGCGGCATGGGCAGGCACGATGTAGCAACTGATTCACGCATGACCTGTGCCTCACAAAAGCTGCCTTGTCGGTCCAACTCATGTCAATGCAGGTGTCGCTCGAACGTGAAAGTGAATTGAACTGATCTGAGTCAGCGCAGAGCGTGAATCAATGAACTGCAAAGTCGGTGTCTGACCGGCTTGTCACTCGCGCATGAAGCTGCCGGAGCCTGATACCTCATGAGAGCTGCCTTGTTCAAAACGCAGGCAGCGCAATGCGGATGAAGCTGCCGGGGCCTGATACCTCGTGAGAGCTGCCTTGTTCAAAATGCAGGCAGTGCAATGCGAAGGTGAACTGAACTTGAACTTTTGAACGTCATCCCCTCGCGGGGGCTCCCGCATATGGCGAGTCCAGCCCACAGCGCCATGTCGGACAGGCCGTGGGTAAACACACTTATCTCGAGAGGCTTCACTAGCCGAGATGAAAAACGCAGTCAGTAAAAATGCTTGAATGCAAATGCAAATCAACAGGTCACAACATCGACGCCGAACAGGAAGCAACAGCGACAAACAGGAACCGCAAAAGGACTTTGAATCACACGAGTTGCGCAGGTACGCTGGGATGATCAGTCCCAGTATCACCACCGATGGCAAGTGTCTTCGTTGGCAGGAGACTTGCCATGGTGCTCCTGCCCCCTGCTGCTTAAAGTTTTGCGTCCGTGCTCCAGGACGTTTCACAAACGCACACACACACACACACGCACGCACGCACGCACGCACGCACGCAGGCAGGCAGGCACGCACGCACGCACGCACGCACGCACGCACGCACGCACGCGCACGCGCACGCGCACGCGCACGCGCACGCGCACACACCCACACCCACACCCACACACACACCCACCCACACACACACACACACACACACACACACACACACACACACACACACACACACACACACACACACACACACACACACACACACACACACACACACACACACACACACACACACGCAAACACGCAAACACACAGACACACACAGCGCAAACCATACATATACACCGCCCACACAACAGACACACGCGCACACAACACACACACACACACCACAGCACACACACACACAAACGACACACAACACACTCACACACGCACCACAAACACCACACCACACACACACACACGCCCACACACACACACACATACATACATGCTTATATATATATATAGACCTACGTACATTGGCTTCAGTCATGCTCGCCAACCCAAACGATCATCAAAAACAACAATTTGTGACTCAGGATCGCACAGTCTCGGCATCAGCGCGCAGGCGCTTCACCTGACCAGAGCGAGATTAGCGTTGCTTCGAGGACAAAGACTCAGAGACGCTCACAAAAAGGGATGCCTAGTGAAAACATGGTTGCAACGCATGAGCAAGCATTGGCCATGTTCCTGCCAGAAGGTTGACGGATGTGTCTGCACTTACTAGATCCAAACACTTGCTGCTTTCTTTTGGAGGGGAGGGGTCAATTTCAACATCCAGAAAAGAGAGGGCGGATCGGGGCGAAGTGGGAGAGAACACCCCACTGATTCTACACCAGCGAGCTCACTTGAGGGTACGAGCTCACCATGATAAAGGTCCTTTACTTGGAAAATTCCTGAATTCACCTGTTGGAATCAGAGTAAATTTGCAGACATGCTGTTATTGTGAATTGATCGGTCCCTTTTCATGCTGGTTCTTAGCAGGGAATGAGACATGGAATGACCCCGAAAAACATCACCCCCGGTTTCGTGTCCTTTGAGGGAATCTTTTATTCCCAACACCCGGAAGGTCATTCCCTACTGAGCACTAGCAAGTTGTGTGACGAATCCAAGGGTTTGTTCCTACACGTTGTTTGATGTTCTAGGGTAGACTAGACTTGAAACATAGTCTGATGCTGCTTTCTTTGTACTCCTTACCTGCAGATTACTGTGGAACTGCCATAGAGAAATCTCCGCCATAGAGGAAACTCCTGTGAGGTGTTGGGTATTCCAGGCGGCCAGGTTGTTGGCTGTTGGTCTCCAACAGAACTAGGGTTGAAAACCCTGGCTGTGATGGACATGAGCTGATGGATTCATTAAGCCCTCTTAGATACCGGGATATACCAGCTACCACTTGCAGGATGTTGTCCACCAAGTTCACCCTACCAAGTCACGTGCCAGGGTTGCGAGCCTTACCATTGGGCTTGACGTCGAGAGGCGTATTTTCCTCGTGCGAAACAAAACACAACGGTGCAAGTTGTTCTTATTTAGAGAGTGGGACCTCCTGCATTGAAAAAACTGCTTTGTAGAAGGCCCAACCTCCCAGGAGGTCCCACTCTCCTTATTTCACACTAGGTAGAAATATATTTCACACTAGGTAGAAAGTTGGTGGAGGGGTTCTTGTAATTTCTCCCTTTACCAAGTGCGGCGGATTTCGGAGCAAGCCTTTTGCTGCCCTAGGCCATAGTGTCAAAGCTTCAGCTGTCATGTTGCATCAAAAAGCCCAAATCCCACCTGTTCAGCGGCAGGTGGCTCGTTGTCCCTTTTTTGCTTGATGGCTGTTCTACTCAAACCTGTTAACTCCAAGAAGGCTTCCCTTCTACCAGGGACGGAAAGGAGCATTTCAAAGCTTAAATATCTGTGAGCCAGTACCCTACAAGCATGGCTTGAGGCGACCTTTGGAAGACGAGGGAAGTGAGTCAACAGATCAAGCAAACTCCTTCTAGGCGACAACCAATTTGGCTCAAGTTGAGGCTCAGGGTTTTTGGGTCTCCAAAGTTATACAATACTCCGGGATCGGCTTAAATTGAGACAAAATCTGAAGATCTTGACTTTCGCTCTGCCCCAGATTTCAGTCTTGACATCCGGTTGGTGCTTGGCATCACATGTTGGTTTCGACCAAAGCTCAGGGCACGGGGGAAAAAACAAATCCGCGAAATCCGCACCTCGTTGCTGAGCTTGCGCCTCTGCAGCTCCTCTTTTTCCCTCTCCGCCAGGCTGCGTCGGACCTGGAGCAACCCGTGGGCCCGGAGTCGATGAGCCAAAGCTGTCGGTCTTCAAATCCGGGACAAGGCGTGGGGTGCTGGTGCTCCTTTCACCCCGGGCACCGGCTTTGTTTGTTGGGATGGGTGTAAAGGGACAAGGAAAAGCCTCTTTCTCCCCAGGCACCCTGACTCTTTTTTGGGGGGGATGGGTTTAAAGCCTTTCAAGCGCCATTTTGGGTAAAGGAAAGCGGCGGAGTTGGTGCTGGACAGCGCGTTGGGTGGGGCTTTGGCGACTGTGCTCCTGGTCGTAGAGTGGGAATACCCTGCCGCTGCGGCCATTCACGGCATGGATGACAGCGAAGTGCTCGTTGGCCGCGGCACTCCCATGCGCTTCCAAAAGGTCCGAAATGGGGCCTTGGGCGTCACCGTCACGGGTACCTTCCATGTCCTTTTTTTCTAGGCATCTGGATCTTTCTAAAACACCACCCAAAAATCTGGGGAAGCGGATATGGTTTTTGAAAAGAACGATGGTTGAAAAGAATGGAAAAACTCTTTGGGCTACCAAACTCTTTCTGTCATCCTGGGGGACCAGAAATGAAAAGAAAACAACTTAGCCGCATGGCTGTGGGTCGAAACCCTGTACCCCTGGTGAAGATCAAAATAGGTGGTACATGAGTGTTCATCTGCCCCAAAATGGAGGCATAGCTTATGACCCATGACCACATGGGTACTATCCGTCCTTTTGGATTTTGAATCTTTCTTAACTCCTGCCCAGTTTTGGCGTCCAGTTCTGCAACAAATAGTTGAACACGGATGGAATCCATGGAGCAACTGGGGGAAGTGACAAAAAGGAGACATGGTTGATACCTAGAAGGGCAAGATCTACCATAAACCCGTGGGTAAAGATGAACAAAATAATATAGTCCCTTTCCCACACGCAGAAACAATCACGCTAGCTCGTTCCGAGTGCCCTCAGAGGCTTCATCGGCACCTTGGCCGTGGGAGAACTTCCCTTACATGAAACCACCGCCTTGGATGAAGACAACCCCAAGTAAAGGAACCCGTCTTTTGACCATGGCTATGAGTTTGTCCCCACTAAGACCCGAGGAATCTCCAAGCGTCGCCTCAGATTCGCTGTTGAAAGCTTAACTTTGGTGGGTGGAATCCCCCACAAAACCAACAACCTAAAGAGACGTCTGAACCGCCAAGGTGCACATGTTTTGTGAACACCTTGGCAAGCTTTCAATCAGGCAAGCTGCAGTGGATGCCCCTTAACCTCAAACCATGGCAAAGTTATGCAAATTGGCGGCAGACACAAACCAAAAAAAAAGGTTCGCTGGTAAGGGAAAGTTGTGGGCATTGAACCAAGGCAAAAGAAAACACACACTTTTTGAGTCTGGCAATGACTTCTCTGGGCTGTCCTCAGATCCCCCGCTAAAAGTTCAACTTTTAGTGGGTTGAATGGAAACCCAACCACTAAACACGAAAACGATCTAAAAAATATAAAAAAGACTAAACATATACAAATATATCTAAAGATCTAAAAATATCTAAAACATGCTCAAAAGCTAAGGAACCTTATGGCCTTCGGCAGCCACCAAGACTTCTGAGGTCTAAGACCATCGGCGTGTCCCAAGTCAGCCGTCGCCTGGTCCTCCAGGTCGATGCGCGCCTTCTCTAGCTCCAAGGCGCGCGCCTGAGCAGTTCAAGAACCAAGGGTGCACTTGCTTGCCGTTGACCCCCCTGCAAAAAGATGTCTCACTTTTTGGGGGTTTGGTGGAAAACCCACCTTGATTTCCACAAACAAGTTAAATTCTAAAGATCCAACCCAATAGCAGTCAAGGCATGACCACCCTATCAACCGCTCAAGGGTAGCTACTTGGTTGACGTTGGAAGGGGAGCAACAGTGGGTGGTGCACCTACCCCAAGATGGGATCCCATTGGTTTTGACCCACAGCCTTCTGAATCAGAGCCATACTGTGGATGGACAAAATCCATGTTGCATCACTTTGAAACCATGGTTGAAACCATTCTTCGTTGGTATTTACAGGGGAATCGAATCATTTTACGGCTTCTTAGGTGGTGCGAAATGGATTTCGTCCACCCACAGTATCAGCCGCTCAAGGGTACCTAGGGGAAGTCTCATAGTTGGGTTGGTTCAATTGGAGATTCTCCAACTAAGCACATGTTTTGTTGGGTGGGGATAGTTGCCAGTCATCCGCTTCTCGCACCACGAAACGAGTCACCATGGGAATGAAACCATAAGACAGGCTATGGCATTTGCAGGGGAATCGAATCATTCCAGGGTTCTGAACGGAGGTGCAGCAATTCGTCCATCCACAGTATGGCTCTGCCTTTTTTAAGGGTACCCCTTTAGGTTGGTTTAAAGGGGAGCAAAAAGGCAAAAAAACACCAAACTTTTGGGGGGCCCGATTCCTGAAAAGAGACACACACATTTCATGGTTCCAATTTGGCTTCCACCCTACGCTAGGTCGCTTGCTTTCTAGGTCGAGTCTCAGCAACATGTGGGTGGCTCATCATTTTGTCGGAATTCCAAGTCCTTGGCGGGTTTCAATATTCTAAGATGTTTAGAAGTTGTATATTAAGTCTACCATGCCTACTCCAAAATAGAATATTAGTGTAGCTGTACCATCCCCATTCTCTTGACGGAACCCCTCTCCGAGGAAAAAGGGTGGCTTTTTCATAGAGAACGAGCGAGGTCCCCAACTACTGCAGGAAGGCACAACCTTGATTATTGTCCTTAACATGTTGCAACCACTGGGGGCTGAGGAAATCAACAGGCGAGTTCGCATTGGGGCGAATTGATGGCAAAGCCACTTGTTTTAGAAAAAGGTAAGGGGCTAAAATGGGAACTTGATCAATGTACTGGTGGCGTCCATTGAAACGATCACCACTTTTGGAGGTTCCAACAAGGGAAACGGCTCGGAAACCCTGATGACTCCCCACCGAATTATGCTCGGTTGCTTTCTGCTCCCCTGCTAAAAGTTTAACTTGTAGTGGTTTAATACTGAAAACCCGTTAGTTGGCAACAAGCTAAAGTCCTAACATCCAATCAAAATGCAAAAAAATATGATGGCCTAAAGGTCCTACAACTCCAACTCTTGCTAGATCTGAGGCTCGGTGCCTGGTAGGTCTCTGCCAAGAGCCGCGCGTGACGAAGCCTAGGAACGAACACTAACAAACACCATGAGATCCACAAAATAACACACATACTGTGGATGGACGAAATCCTGCACCACTTTGAAACCATGGGAAGCCGTTGTTTGTGGGCATTTACAGGGGAATCATCATACCAGGGTTCCTTAGGTGGTGCAGGATGGATTTCGTCCATCCGCAGTAGGATCCACAAAATATGAACCGTCTCAAACTCGTTGGGCAATTTTGGCTCTTTAATAGTACATGAATCTCTGAAGCACAGGAATACACTCATGACTAGCATTTGTTATTCTGTTTTCCAATGGGAGTGAGAAATACATTACCTTTCTGCTCCATGACTAGCATTTGTTTTTCTGTTTTTTTTTTCCAATGGGAGTGTTGAAAGAAAGCAAGGGCGCCGCAACACAAATCCCCGAAGTAGCGCCCCAAACCTCAGCTTCTCTCGAATTTGATCAGTGGAGGGAATGAACCCAGGGATTCCCTTAAAGTAAACCGCAAGGGATGGCTTAAAAGTGTCATTCCCTCATTCCCTGCTCAGCACCAGCAAGTAGAGAGTCAAGCGGAAACCACCTCTTCACCTAAGGAGAACTCACTCAGCATTGGCCAAAAGGATGCTGTTTTGAACCGCAAACAAAAAATACAAAAATAGCCTCCCTCCAATCATGGAAGCTGAAAAAGCGGGTTTTGGGAAGACTACTTTCCTTTTGGGGAACCCCTCTGTCCACTACCAGGATTGTAGAGGAGCAGGAGCTTTGGGGTCTCCATCCGGCCGGGAGAGATCCAGAGATGTTGCTGCTGGGATGCTGGGTAGATTTGAAAGCTTTCCGTAGCGTTTATCAAGCTCGCGCCCCAAACCTTACGGGCGGCCTTGAATCAGCCGTCCCTTGTGTTAAACATAAAACCAGACCGAGTGATAGATCTGCCTTTTTTATAGCCTTTGGAATTCTAGTAAAATGTGCAGATAGATACTATTGTGGTCATATTAGGGATTGTAAGGATATTGCCTATGTCTTCATAGCGGTGTATTCTGTACCTTGCCTTCATTCATACCAGGCCCTTGAACCAAACCAAGCAGGCTTTTGTTCATGCCCTCCCACCTTGGCAATAAATCCAGGTGATTCGGAGGATATCCCGTTTTTACAGGTAGACCGAGCACACTCAACCCAAAATCCATGGTACAATGTGGGACTTGTTCTCTTACTTGCAACCCAATTGTCCCGTGATGGCCTTTTTTCAACCTTGTTTTTTTGGGTAAGGGTTCCCCTTCAAACTCAACCAACAAAACAAATGCCTTTTTTGTCCCATGGACATCCACTGTGCGTTTGAGTCAGGATGAAAAGCCGCAAAAAGAAAGGCGATCTATTGCAGCCTAAGTTGCGCAAAGTGAATATTGGTAATTCTTCCGGGGCGTGGGCCAGAACCCTGCCGTTGTTCCCTTTGCTATCACTCTGAATCAAACATGCGGGGAAGTGATTCGTAAAGTGCCCCCAAACAGACCGGGGGGGTTAGTTGGGCCTACTCAAGAAGTCTCAGTAAGTACTGCCTAGTACTGGTTTAGAATTGCTTTCGTATTACCCTCCATCCCACTAACATGGCAACTGACAGGGGGACCCTTCTAGGTACCTCCTCACGGGTGCCATGTTAGTCGAAGGAAGGGTAGAACTCATTTGCACTGGTATAGTGCTTAGAATTGTCTTGGTATTCCCTTAATATTTCTCGGTACTGGCAAACATGTTCCATTTCTCTATGTCCTCCCCTTAAACATTTGCGATTATCAAAAATTCGGAACTTTCCGGTACCACCCCCTTGAACATGTCTGGGGCTCGGGAAGCAGTGGGTCTGCTGTCACCCAAATCTCTTGAACATGTGCGACCATGGTCCTACTTAGGTCTCAAGGTCCCCTGATTGCCTTCCTCAAACCACAGGTGTCGTCACGGCCTTCTTCAGCTCTTAGAGCGCTTTGAGGAACTCATCGAGTTCTTCCCCATATGGCCATGGGTCAAAATCCCGTACCCCCAGTGAACATCCCAATCCCAACTAAAATAGACTAAAATGGGAACCATTGGTTTTGACCCCACTTCCATATGCTTTTTCACGAGGGTCTTCGACTGCCTTTGATGTTCAGGCTCTTTGGTGGGGTTCGCAGCTCCGAGTACCCAGCCGTCTCTTGCTCTGGTGTCAAACTGGGAACCTTGACATGACGGATTGATGTCTCAACGCCCCCTTGAACATGTGCAAAGGGTGTCATTAAGAAATTGGTTGTTTCGGCCTCGGTTGATTTTGCTCTCATGATGGTTTTCATGTAGTATTAGTTCGTGCTGGCTCAGTATTGATTAGTATCATTTAGTTGTCGTTTAGTAAGAACATGATTTTTCTCACGCCCGGACAGGCAGCCATGTTTTGCCCACCGAGAAAAACGCTTCTCTGCATTTCCTCCCCCCAAGCCTCAATCTGTCCAAGGCGGGGGAAAAAGATCGGGACCGCTTGTCCGAGTTCCCTCGCCATTTGCTCGCGACCCGATGGATCGATTGAAGCCGAGCTCGGGCCCGGGCTCTTCTTTCAGCCTCACCTCATCGAGGGCGCGCCGGTCCTGGCGTTTCCACCGGGAACTTGAAGCCCGGAGACCGACTCATGGGGGCTGGGGGATCCGGGAGGCCTAAATAAGGCCTTATTTGGGACATAGTTAGGCTCCCTCCCTCCCCATCCCCCCTCCCCATCCCCATCCACATCCCCTCCCCCAGCCCCGATAAAAAAACTATTCCCACACCGACCTTCACCATTGGCCGACAGTGGACCTTCACCGAAGCATCTCTGGACAATTCAGTTACCCACCGCACAAGTCTCTCTCCCCTGAAAACAATCTATCACCCCTTGACATATCCATCCGCTGAAAATGCAAAGCGGTCATAACTCAGGGTCCATGCGTCACAAACCCCCACCTAGACATAGGGTCCACTGCCTATTTTGAGTGGGGTCACTTGTCTAAGACCTTATGAGGATCCTTGCAGTTCAAAGGGGCCCAACTGTGAATCGTGTGCGGAATCTACGTAACAAGTCCAATTCTGATCTGTTCGAAGCAATCACCTTGCCATCCTGCAGTTGCTGGAGCCCGCTGTGGATGGTCCGTCGCACCGCCAGACTTCGGCATTGAAAAACGCAGTATTAGGATTGCTGTGAACTGTTCATCGGCATCTCTTTGAGTGACATGCGCCGTGGCATTCTAGCTAGTTCAAGGTCAAAGTCTTGGGTCCATCATGTTACTTCCAAATAAAATCTGAGGGAAACGGTCAATCAAAGAACCCTACTTCGAGTCCAACTGGGAGTTTAAGCTACGGGTCAAACTGCGGGTCAGGTAGACAGACTGAAGAATCCATGCGCGGAGTCTAAGGTCCAGCCGCCAGGCCCACGAGGTCCAAGCTTGAGGGGTCCAACTGCAGACCTTCCCCAGACCCCGTCTGCAACTCGGGCCCCAAAACGAGCTCGTCTTTGGTTTTCGGCGGTGCTTCCCGTGAATTGCCGAAGGCTGGCTTGGAGTTGGTGGCATTGTTGCATTTGTTTAAGCCATGCTCTCATGCCCGCAGCAGGCATGTTTTGGTGAGACCGCGGGTGTGCGAAGGCGACTCTCTAAAACTGGACGGCGATTCGCTTCCAAAGATTCTTTGGTTGAGGGGCCCGGAACAACCAATTCTTTCTGGTGGTTCCAACACATGCTTCCTTCCAACATGTACCATAGAATCTGGTTTGGAAACGACAAAAAAGACTTCTTCCAGTAGAGAGGTTAGAATAAGGGTACCAACTTTTTCCTGCAGTCTATTTTAGTAGGGGAACCCTCCCAACCAAAAAAGGCTAAAAAAAAGCACTACTGGGGCACCTAGTCTTTGTTCCGGGCCCCAAGTCGGGCCCGTTGAACTCCTGGGGCTGGATCTCCCTCGAGCGCCTCCGCCCAAACGCGCGCCGCGCGAGCCGCGCCCCCCGATGCCTGCGGCTCGTGCTCTGCGCCGGAGACTTTGGCCTCCAGCTCCAGCTTTTGAACGATGGCCTCCTGATGGCTCTGGGCTTTGCGGGCTTGCCGCCTAAGCAATAAGCTGGAAACCAAGAGAAGCCAAGGGAAACCAAGGGAAGCCAAGGGAAACCAAGGGAAGCCAAGGGAAACTAAGGGGAAGCAGGGGAAAGCAAGGGAAACCCTAACAAGGCCTCGTCAGGGGCTAATCCGCGTCTAAGATGGTGTCCACTATCCCACAACTAAAGCTACCCCCTGAATTTCATACAGCTCTAAAGCCCCTCATTGGTGGGTTGGTGGGTTGAACGTGTTCCAGGACATGTTTTCCCATTTACCCGCAAGAACCAGGGGTTCAACCCCCCAAACCACCAATTGAGGCTTGCTTGAATTGCAGGTTGGGGTTCTCCGCCAAAGGATGTTTTCCGGCAAGTCAAAGGTCGTTCGCCCTTTTTGAACCCTGTTCGAAGTGCTCTCTGGTCGTTAGATCCCCTGCTAAAAGTTTTCAACTTTTAGTGGGTTAAAAGGACAACCCCCACCAAACCTCTTGGGGCTAACACTCAAGGCCCAAAAGGCTAGCCCTTGGCTGGCAGCATGGTGGACGACGGGGTGAAAAAGGGGAAGGCATGTCTAGCGGTTGGTGGGTTCCATTGAACCAACACAAAGGTGCCCCTCACACACACAAAAGATGCATTTCCACAAAAACTGCTCACACCCAAAGACCATCCCAACCAAACACACCTGGCTTTAGGTCTAGTGTTGTCTGGGGGGGTGCACCAGGATCTGTTTCTAACCAGCTCTGCTCCCTTACAGCTTGCTGGTGCTCAGCAGGGAATGAGAAATAGACTCAACCTGGGAATTCCCGAATAAAGGAAACTATGGGGGATGGTTTTATGGGGGTCGTCCCTCATTCCCTGCATCTCTCGCACCACCCGGGCACCGTCCATGGATCTGCCCAAAACAAGCCTTGGCAGTCTCGCGGAGGTTCTGCACCTAAAGCCGAGGCTCGGACGCCCGAGTTCTCCGTTCAAGCTCTTTTTCGGGATGGCTTCATGGGAAACCAAAAGGGAGAAGCGAACACCATGCTGGGAGTCCCAGTGACATCAGACACACTCATTTTTGTTTGTATATATATATATATATATGTCTAATAATATACATTTATATAAGCAAAGGTGTGTTCTTGTCTTTTGCCTGAAGGTAGCTACCCAAGGCAGCTACCCTTGGAAGCACCCCGCTGAAAAGTTGTCAGATGGGCGCCCCGGCCACGGAGAAGAAGGGCACCACGCTGCCGAACTGATCCTCGCCGAAACCGTGGCGTTTCACGTTAGCAGCCGAATGGATGTGTGTGTGTGTGTGTTCTGGTTCTGACACACCTATGGTCATTAGTCCCTTAAGTAGCTTAACTTGGTTACTATCCATGTACTAAGTATCCACTCTTTAAGTAGGTCAACTTGGTTACCAACCATGTATTTGCTAAGTACCCACCCTTCAAACAGGTTACTTGGTTACTGACCATTTACTTTCAAGTAGGGTTAAGAATCAAAGGGCGAAAACCTTTCCACGCCTTTTGGCTACCTCTCCTCTAGCTCTCATCTCGTGTTCTTCCCGCTGGTGGTCTTTTCCTTTCCCACAGACCAACACACACATGGGATTGTCTTGCTTTTGGGCTCTCACGTTGGTTTCAAGGGAAACCAACTCACAGCCCCAAATTCCCTCGGATCCCAAACTCCTATCTTGCCACAGCGTCTTTCGGGAACCCCAGAAATTTGTGTTCCTCTTAGCTTCTCTTTAAGCCCACGAACATACTAGGACTCAAAGAAAGCCGCCACCTGGAAGCCAGCAAAAGTGATTGAACCACCAGCTCAAAAGCCAGGGGCCCGGCCACGCAAGTGATGCGATCGGGGTCCTTTGAACGGATTGAGAAACACACCAACACGAAACCTGCACCCATGATGGCCGGGCTTTCCCAAGTCTGAGAAAAACGACCCGAATCATGCACTCCCCCCAAAAAACACAAATATATTATCTTTGTTTTTGAAAACAAATGGGACCTTTTTTTTGTATTGTTGATTAACCTTTGTAAGCTTGACCATGCGCTGTTTCCTTCCAAAAAGGCACCAACAGGAAGGGGGCGTGTTGTGTTTTGCGGACCCAAACGTCACACTCACGGATCGTTTCCCGATTCCCCCCATCAAGAGATAGCTTGGCCTACGGACTTATGAATGGGAGAACGAGTCTCATGGACAAACTTTGCCGCCCCAGAATCTTTCATGGTATTGCAACCAAATCCTTTTCACATATACATCGCATGCACAATATGTACATACCCAAAGGGTCCAAGTACCTTCTAAGGATGGACTTAGACCCCTTTTGACACCCTAAAAGCCATCCTCACAAGGTACTTGGACCCTCTGGGATATGTAAAATGATGTCTGAATTCTGGAAAAAATCGGTGTCGGAGCTCCGAAGGCTCTCCCCTGACTAGAAAACCCGACAAAGCGCCCCCACACCCCAGTATTTTCTTGCTGGATGCTCAGGTGGGAATGAACCCAGGGATATTGCTTACAGGAAACCAAAACAGTTGGATGCTTTAAGCAGGGGATGATTCTTCCCTGCCAATAAAGGAAATCAGTGAAACCAGTTGGATGGTTTAAATCGGGGTCACTCCATTTCTTCCTTCCCATCGGATTCCTTTAAAGGAAACCCAAAGGGATGGTTTACAGGGGTCATGTTAACTCATTCCCTGCATCTCTCGCACCAGAAAAATCCTTTGAGGAGCCCCCCGAACAACCTTTTGTTTTTCGACAAGGGGGCGGGGTCCCGCCCGGCCCCGCCTCTGAGATCCGAGGCAAGGCTCGGCCTCGCGCGAATCCGAAGCCGAGTCCCACTGTGGAGCGGAAAGAATCCCAACGTGCGGTGGATGCGATGCCCGGCTCGTGACGTTGGAAGCAAGAAAACCAAGCCGAAATTCCATGGAGCTTATGCAAGGGGTTTTCTGCAAGATTTTGAGTTGGTCTTTTCTCGTCCAACATCTTTCAGCTGGGGAGTTCCAGCTACGTACAAGAAGGGTGGTGCCTTTGTTTTCTTTTCTTTTCTTGGGGGGGTGTCCCTGCTTTTTGTTGCAGAGTAGCTTCTCAGAGCCTGTCAGAATCGATCCCATAGAGACCCAAAGTAACATCAAGTGCGCGCATCTTCTAGGTACAATCAGGAAGGCTGGCCGAAAAAAGGAGGCTTCCAAGAGGAGTCTCCTCTACAACTGGGGTGTTTCCTGGGTTTGTGAACATGTTCAGATCTCAGGGTAACTGTTCAGATCGCCCGAACGAAGGGCTCCGGGAATTCCGGAAACTGCTGATGGAACTGCGATGGAGGACATGTCCCTATGACAAGCTCACTGGCTTGCTGGTGCGATAGGGGAATGAGAAATGGAACGACCCCTACAAACCATTCAACGGGTGATTTCCTTTTTTCGGGAACCCCTAGGTTCATTCCACATACTGAGCACCCGCAAGCTTGAAGGCTTGGTCCTTTTGAACCAAACGCAATTTTCGAGCCCTCAAGGGCTGCAGGTTTCGGGACCGCCAGTTTTTCCCCCAGCCGGAAGCTTTGGGGTCGATAGGGCCAGATAGGCTCCGGGGTGGTTCGGGGCGGCCCTGAGGTCAGGTTCCACGAGATTTCCACCAGGGTTCCACGAGGGTTCCACGAGGTTCTGCGAGGGCTGCGGGGTGGTGCGAGCACTGAAAAGAGCACCGCATGCTGTTGGGGATATCACTTGAGCTTAGTTTTTCTTGGCGCCTGGTGGCTGCGGCCGACTGACATGATGAAACAAAAAATGCACCCGGAATGAAGACAGCCGGGTGGCACGAAAAACAAATAGTAAATGCACCGGGAATAAAGACAGGCAACCGGCACCGCGCCCATGTTCACGACAAAATTAAATGAAAACGGAAGAAAATAATGAGAGGAGAGGAGAGGAGAGGAGAAAAGAGGACAGGAGAGGTAGCCAAGCCAACACCTGGTCGTTGGATCTTTGGTACCTTGTTCTTCAGCTCCCCAAAATGCAAAATGTCCAGCTTCCCCAGAATTCCTGCTTTCTTACATGTCTCCTGTTTAAAAGTGCCCACAATTAGACCCAGGGGGGTCCTTCAGGCCCCAAGTTGACATTATTTCAGGGGTCGGAGTTTTGTCTTGTTGCCTGGCCCCCTGAACAAATACAACCTGCCCAGTGCAATTCCCTCTTAGCTAGTTAAGTAACTAGACAGCCTAGATGATGCTGGCGATGCTTCAGGCTTTGTTGTTGGATTTGGGCCTGCTCCTCAAATCCAAAATTATCAGCTTTCTCAAACACATGTTTTCTTACGTGTCTCTTGATTAAAACCTGCCCACAATCAAACCCAGAAAGGGGGTAGTACTTCATTCCCCCCAACTTGACTTTGTTTTAAAGTCTTGCTGCCTGCCCCACCCCCCTTAAAAAAAACTCAGAAGGAAATTCTAGCAATACTAATCAAATGGAAACTCGAAAGAAAACTCACTCCAGCAATACTAAATCAAATGGAAACCCAATTCCTGGAACTCAAAAGGAAGCTCCAGTAATACTAGATCAATCCAAATCTCAAAATGAAGCTCCAGCGATGCTAAATCAAATGACAACTCAAATCCAGAAATCAAGGAAGGTCTAGCGATACTAAATCCCAAAACGAAGCTCCAGCAATACAAAACTACTAAATCAAATGGAAACTCAAGTCTACCAATGCCAAATCAATTGGAAACTCAATCGAACTGGATTTCAATATGTTATCTTAGGTACCCCTTCCGGGAGGGGCGGGGGGTTCCACCCCCCTTTACCATCCCAGCACCACCCCTTTGACATCATACTTCGCGGTATTCCACGTTTTCCGCAGCCCGTCTCAGAGTGGTCCTTCATGATGGACTGGTACTTGCCCAATGAAGACCAAGGAAGCTGATTATATAAACCAGCGAACTGCTATCTGTAGATCCAACGATGCTCCTGTGCCGTGAGCATGCCAGGCACCGTCGCTTCAATATCTGCGAGTTGGTCACCTCCGCAAAATCCATGTGACAGCCGCAGTTCAAGCAGCCGATTCTCTGACACAGCCATGAAAACAACAAAGCTTTCAGCTTCCCTCTAATTGGCGGTCTCCATTGAAACTCAACCCGCTGCAACCAGAACTTCACCCAACGCAAACCAGAACTTGTCATATGGTTTGGCAGCGTGTGTGCACGGAAAAACATATTTGTAGAGTGTCTTAGGATTTGTCTATTTTCACTTCGCATGACTTGTTCTTGCTTCATGTGGGCTTGAGTTGTTTGTTCACTGCTCTTGGCAGCAGCTGGAGCTATCAGAACTGCTGCATGCGCAGCTCTTGCTGATAGGTGTCTACGGGCATCACACCGTGCTTGAATGCAAGCTACACTATGACTTGCTCAAAAGCGCCCCACAAGCCCATCCACGTAGGGTCACATCCCGGCAACCGTAAACCCACTCGCTTGCACTCTTCTTGCGTTGTGCTTGCTTCAAGCCTCAGTCACTTTGATCATGCTGCCAGTTTCCACCTGGTAACATCCATTCGAATGCTAAATGTGCATCTATACATGTATATGTGTGTGTGTGTCATTGCTAGCACCCATACTCTGCGCAAACGTGCTGTCGTTTCCTGATCGCTGTGTTGGAGTTGGACCATGAATCCAGAAATGTCGTATGCTTTGTTTCTTTTGTTTGCCCATTCGCGCGTCGGAGTGTATGTGTGTGTGTGTGCATGCTGGCGGGCTGCTCTCGCAAAGGACGTGTGTCATGTCGCGAACAATTCGGACACCGCGTGCACAGAACAGCGCATGGCTCAGCGCGAAGTAGTTCTGCAGGGCAAGCGCGTGTGAACACTCCTTTTTCTCATCAAAATTTGCTTGGCCAAGAAACTGTCTTATCAGAAACACGGCCTTCATTGGAATACGACTGGGGGCTGCCAAAGCTTAGAGGCAATGGGCAACGCACGCGCAAACGCCAACCAACCAACAGGAGTGCAGAACGGCGGCAGCAACCTAATCAAGGGCAAAAAGCAGAACTGGCTCTGGCTGGAAGGCACAAGCAGAACAGAAGGGCAAATCTGTGAAATGAATACATGGACACATCAAAAATTCATCGCAAACAAAGGGCAATGGGCATGTTAAGATTTGCGGCACGCCTCCAGGACACGTCAGATCATGCAAGCTTACACACGCTGAGAAAGTTCATGTGTCCAGGCCCGAGCAAGTCTACTTAGCAGGTATGCGTTGCGCTTGTTGATGAAAACAGCGCGTAGTTGAGGATAACAATCGCTTTTTTCGCGTTTGGCTTACCGCCAAAGCTGCCACAAAACCAAATGTTAGTCCAAGCAATCAGGGCAGGTTCAACACCTGCTGAATTTTAGATTCACTAGTTCGCAGCAATCGCATGCAATCGCCAAACAACTAACTAACGTTTATGACCAACTCTGCAGGGGCCACGAACACATCAAACTTAACAAGCAATTGTTCCTTCCAGCCACTCAAAATCACTTAATAATCTGGGAAGCAATCAAGAAAACATCGATCAGGCAAATGCATATGCTTATCTGCTGATTAGACACCTCGTTAAAAGGCAAGCCAAGCCATGGTTGACGTGTAGAGTACGATCTGCAAAGGACAAACATTATTCGCCACAGCATGGTACCAGCTAAGCACACCGGATTCCAGAAGCTAAGCCTCACATAAATTGAAGTACATGGCGTGCATGATTTGAGAGATATTCTCTGAAACATGCTAGGGATAGCTTCGGCTGTGTGTGTGTTTCATGTGCCCTCCCATTGACTTCCAGTAACATGGCTTTACGTTCCACGAGGCAAACATCAGCTAGCTTTCCACATTGTGTTACATTCCAGCAGATTCCAGCAGGGTTCTATACGAAAATCAACTGTGTCG